TATTATTTGAAAATTTTTTATTGAGTAAAGAATATACAGTATAATAAGATAGTTATATATTTATAAAATATATTTTAAGAGTTTATAGAATGTAATTAGTTGCAACTAAGATATTAATTAATTATTAAAAACAAATTGATTTTAGTTTTTTTGATATTTTATAATATAATCATATGTAAAAGATATTGTTAAAAAATATAAATAATTTTCATATTGTTTATAAAGACAAGTACAAAATATAAACTATATTAATAATTTTTTTAATTATTAAAGAATAAAAATATATAATTAATTAAAAAATTAAAAAAAATAAATATACTGTAAATATAAATAAAAAGAATTTTCAAAAATATTTTAAAGAAAAGAGCTGTAATAAATTTTTTCTTATATAATTCAAAAAGTAAGCAAGCTTTTCAAACTTGCCATTTTTTGATTAGAGGTTCTATTCTGATGTATCAATATATTTTTTTAATTTTTAATAATAATAAATATAATATAAAATACGTGAAATCTAATGCTTATCTATAAATATAACCACGTGATTCTAACTAAAGTCATGTGAATAATGCATAAAACGCGTCGCAAACACGTAAAGTTGTCATCTTCTCGGACTGCAGTATAAGCATGTCGCATATACAGTATATACAGTACATGATTAATTTAATCGAATAAAATATCATAGGCTTTTTGAATAAATGTAGTAAAGAACCGTTTTAGTGTAGGTTAGATACGTATATCAAAAGTCTCAGGAATATTAATTAAATACGAGCGAGGCTAAACAACGAAAAGCAAGGGTTCTTAATAAATGATGACGTGAGAAAGGAACCCTTTCGGTCCTAATATCAGTGTTAAGCATAGAAAGCCTTTTTGGTTTCTGATGTTCAGAGCTTTTAGCCGACTAACATGATCCCATTAAGGCATAGGTGACCTATTAGGTTATCCGATGTTTAAGACTTTTTGCCGACTTAATGAAATAAATAAAAAAAAATCTAATGAAAAAAGTAGTTTAAAAATCTTTATTCGTAGGGATCTCGACCCGATCGTCAACGAGCAAAAAAAATGGGATATCGAACGTTCACATAAACAGTATCACCTCCATCAATTAACATTTTTAGATGGGTTTTATTCATTAGAGACATAAATGCCGGTGGAAATGAGCTTTATTCTCGATGTAAGAATTAAAATTGATGAATAGTTTTTTAAAAACAATTGGGCGTTAGTAGAAATAGGCATTGTTTCTCCACCACGTATTGTTACCCATCCCTTCAACATGGATCTTATGCACAGGTTCAACTATAACTAACAACCGATCTGTAAGATGTTTTTTTCTTAACCTTTTAAATGGATACACAGGCAGAAGCTAGTGTTGATAACTTCGGGAACAATGATGACCCGGAGGTAAATTGTATGCATTCTATTATGAGGTAAATAAATTTGGAGCAAGTGTTATTAGGTTGCAGGAAGTGAAAAACGATAAGGTACAAGATGAGAAGCAAAACAGTATTTTTTATTGCGAATCTTCAGGCTTGTGGTCTCATGAGAATTTGAGCATTTTTTATTTGGAAGAAATTAATTAGAATATTGACCAAGGTAAATCTAGAGGAATTTGCAAATACCTATAGAGCAACGGATAAAAATTACATGCGAAAATAATTGTAATAAATTACAATTTATTAAGAGTGTGGAGTTAATTATGGAGCATTTCACTGGGGGGAGAACTTCAAGAAATACATAGCACAAGGTCCTATCTTTCGAAAGAAGTTAACGATTCTTTACGTAAATTCCTAGCAAATATGCGTATGCTGTAATATGTCACCAAGCTCTTTCTACTGTATTCTGTAAACAAACTTTTGAATGAAACTCGACAGATAATAAAAAGAATCAGTTTCGGTAATATATGTTTTGCTTTATATTCGATATTCGTCCTTTTTATTTTTATAATTGTGACCGCATTGTTGTGTATGGATCACATCTGGGTATTGTGAAGGCTGTTCTTTGTTCTTTTAGTAGTGAATTAACCGATAAGTGAAAAGTAATCACAGGGTAAGTGAAACAGAACCAAACCTTGAGAATTGGTATATTTGCCACATGAGTATTTGACCAAGCTTTCAGGGGAATACTATAAATACAGTGGTTGTGTCAAGTAATTTTTTTTACCTTTGAAATAATATAGCTATTTGATCTGAACAAATTATTTTATAATCAAGAGGTGAAAGTAAAAACATATCAACGGCAACACAAAAAATTAAAAAGAAAGTCAGAGAAACATCGGAAAATTGATCACAGGGAGAACTGGGTTCTTAGAGATGTGAGTAACGATAACATAGATGAGTTTTGAGCTGAGGAAGAGTCAAAATGGAAAGAATAAATTGGAATAGAGCCCGCAAAAATATCTTGAAAGTAGGAATTATTCACGAAGGTACACACACGGCTGAACCTGATTTTCGCAAGAATCTATCAGGTGCTCATTACTGACCGGTAACTTATTTTATAACAGGTCTTATGATGTCAATAGTATATGCTGACAATCCAAAAGGATATACAGTAAGTATATACAGGTAGTGGCTTGATGGATGTGTGAATACGATAGAAAAATTCGATTCAACCTTGATAATTTTGGCGTCTGTTAATGCTAAACCAATGATTTTTGCTTTATATGTTTTTGCAAGGTCAATTATTTGTAAATGTTAGTATGCAATCCAAAAAGGACAGGCTATCGAGTCATTAAGCATACTGGGTCATGAAAGGGACCTCGAGATGAAAGTCAACAACACCAATTATCTGCATGCACATCAACTCCCAAGAGTGAAATTAGATACTAAAATGAATACCAGAAAATCACATAACACACCGCCGATTCCTGAATCACAGAATCTAGACATATTCTTTATGCAGACAATTGCTTCTTGGCACAAAAAAAAAATGATTGTCGTTACATTTTGCAGTGCAATAATAAATAGTTCGAAATTTTGCACAATGTATATAATTGTCATTTACTAAAATATTTTTTAGCTTTCCAATTTTTTCTCACAACTGTTTAAAAACCGATAGCAGGATAAGTAAGGTCAAAATTGAGAATTCGCGTTTCTCCTGAAAATATTTATCATTCAAAAGATATCATTTATATATGTTCATACAAGTACGATCATGAGAAAGAAAATAACAGCCAGTTTATAATAGGACTTATATTATTTCAGTACTTGCTCAATATAATTTTAAAAAACCTGTTTTTTTCAAAAATCCATGAAGGAGGTAAGAAATAGATTAATGCAGCTTGGAAATCTTGTACAAAAATCAAGAACCCGAAAATAGACAGTTTAAGTCAAGTCTAATACAATATTAAATCAAAATTAATTAAAAATTACAAAAAGTTTTTTGAAGATAATTAATTTTTTATTATAATTTAATTTATTAATTTTCTTTTTATTTTAAACAAATATTAACGACGAAATTTTATTAAATTACAAGTATTATATTAGATATTCTATAACTGTTAATGTTCTAAAAATGTTAATAAAAATTAACTTGTAAAAAATATATATCAATATTAACTACACAAAATCATTGATATTTGTAACCTATTATCATTATTTTTTAAAAAAACAAAAAAACAATAATAAAATAATTAATTATTAAATATAAATTGATATTTAATGATTTCATTTTTAGAATAATTAAGATACTGAGATTATTAAAATAAAATAATATTAATTATTAAAATAAATAGTTTTAAAATTTGAATTAAATATATCAATATTTTATTTGAATATAATTTGACAATAATTCAAAATATCAATAACAATAATAATAAATTTTTATAATATATACTGTATATATATAAAAGCAAAATTATAAAAAGAATCTATTATAAAAACTTTTTATATAATAAAAAATAAAAAAATATCTTAAATTATTTAAATTGTAACTAAAAATTTGATCTTTTAATACAATAATAATTTTTAAGATTTATAATATAATTAAAAAATCGAAAATATCTTCAATTACTCAACAACTTGATTTACTGTAACTTGACTTTTGCAATTCCTAATTACAGGCAATAAAACTTAAATAACTAAAATTAATTTTTAAAAAAATGTTCTTAAATATTCTCGATTAAAAAATTAAAGAATTTTCGAAAAATAGTTTATTCGAATTATAACCTTATCGAGTGAACTATTACTTTATCGCGATATGATATATCGTAAATTAAATTAATTGTGATATTTAAATTAGATCAAAAAAAATTATAATACTGTAGTTTGAAAGTATCGATATACAGTAAATTAATTAATTTTCGTTTATCTTTATGATTTTTAATAATCATCGAAAAACATTAATTAATATTTAAGACAAATCACAAATGATAAAAAAACATGACTGAGGTATTTGGAATGTGTTGGAACGGGTACGCATTTCTATTGTTAATAATCATTTGGTTTATAAATATTTGATCTCGTTACGTTAAAGCTGTAATAATATCAGAAAATTATGAATTAATGATTTTGTAATTCCTTTTCTTTTTGTAAATCCTAACCAGATGGTTAATTATAATTCTTGCCGGGCGTTGTATGCTTTTTTAATCGGTGATCGTCACGTTTACCACAGAATTTCAAACCATATGCATTTAGACAAAGGGTAAGACACAAGAAAAATAAATTAATAATTCGAAAAGTTTCATAGTATCAGTGATGCATGAAAATTTGAATTAACTTCCATTTTAAATAATAATTGGTGTTGAGAAAATATTAAATTATTATTTTGTTTTTGTTTTTTTGAAAGCACAGTTTAACAACGAGTCGGACCTTCTTTGTAAAAACCTTTAAGTGTACTACTAAAACACAATAATAATTTTGATGTAACCATAATGATAGTGAATTATAATAAAATTGAATGCAAAGTCGTGTGTTTAACAAATGTAATTTATGCATTTTTCATTCTTTTTGTATTTACATTCTCAACGAATTGTCCAGAGTCACGTGAACGACTATTGTTAAAGCCATTTAATGCAAGTCATAGTAACTCGGTGGTGGTTCCACTGCTGATCTCTCCAAGTGGCTTTCACTTCCTTCACTTGTATAACCGCTGTCGAGATTACTTTCACCGTAAATGTAGTAACCACTATCCCCTAGATATTCACCTTCTTCATAAGTGGGCAACTCATCCGAAGCGCATCTACACGAAAGCAGTATAACTGGTATTTCCACTTTTACTTCTGTTTTTTTCCTCTTCTTTAAAGTTCCATTGGTTAATAATTCCGATGTGGTGAACGTGAACTTTAACTGATGTGTTATAGTAATTGAAGAAGATTTACATGAAGGGTGGGTGGAATTTGTGCGTTTTGGAATTGGGAAAGTGATCAGATTGTGATAATAGACATTTTCGTCTTCAAGGTCAGATTCTGGGATAACGATATATTCATCTTCAAGAGTATTGTTGCTGAGATCACCTTCATTGATGTTTCTCCTTTCCATCGGTATTCGTTGTTCACCGTAATCTTTGACTTGCAGTGAGCTCAACGAATTTATTTCTCGATATTTCTGTGTACCAGCTTTATATGTGGAATCCTCATTCAACTCAATCTTCCCTCCAATAACACGTAAATTTTTTACCGTTGGCCGCAATTTTACATCAATTTCTATAGTGTCACCTAATGCATATGCCCTCCTCGGTATGCTAATCTCATAGTTTAAACTTTCTTTCGTATTGGACACAGATAATCCTTGAGAATTCTGTTCATCCAATAAGGTTCTTACGATAGGTACATAACGAGTAATATTTACATTCGGCAGAAATCCTTGACGAACAACATTTGCTACTAATTTATAGGTGACGTTCCCTCGATAGGCTTTGATTGTTTCTGGAAGGTTACCAGGCAAGAAGAGTTCAAATGGATAAGTGTGGATGCCAGCTGGTAGTAACTGATACTGAGTAACATTAGAAGTGTCAGATGATGTGATTGGTGCGAGGAAGGTCCAATCATGTGTGATTATTTCGCGTTTCTCACATAGATCATTACGATTCGAGTTTGCGTCTATTATTTTAAAGGAGAGTTATTTTCGGTGCTTTTTTTGTCGCATAAACGACACGATATACATACTATAGGAAATTTTTCCTTCGGGCCAAAAAGTTTTTAGTTTACCAACAAATTTCATTTCGATCTTCTTAATTTTCATCGGCTTTGACAAGTTCAAACATAATTCTCCTCGCAGGAAGCAACCGGTAGATTCTTGCGGACTGCCGCGTATGAAAAGTATTGGTTCTACTAAATTGATCTTCAAATTTGAAGATGAAGAGATTATACCTGTAAATCTTAGTAGAGAATTTGGACGTTGTTTTGTGTGTAGACTATTAAATGTGGTCGAAAGTGTGCACGACGATTGAGTGCACGACGATTGAGTGCACGACGATTGAGTCTGTGAGATATTTGGCATTTTTTTTTTTCTTTCTAAATAAAATAGGCTTATTTTAAATTTGTCTATTTTTATTGAAACGACAAGAAATTTTTCTGTTGGATGATACATTTTATACTTTTGGCCATATTTTTTACATGCACAAGTTACGTAACACGTGGATGGGTAAACAGTACATATGTTTATCAATTAATTAATATACATGGAGGTGTAGATACGTAATTATTGTGTATTTTAAAACTAGACCACTGCGATTCGGTCGTTATTCATTAAAGGAAAAGCGGGGTGAATACCTATGTATCATATTAATGTTATTTTTTAAATGACAATCGATTGAGACAATTGCACATGGATGGTTGCGATAACAAAGTAGATTTTATCATCAAAATGATGAATCGAAGGGGGGGCATTTCTCCTGCAATTGGCGAAAGAGTACGTAATATAATTATCAAAGCATTGAGTTAAGCCGGGTATTCTTACTTTAAATGGTAGTCCTTATTCTTACCGTTTGTCTAAGTAATGATAATCACTATGCATATACACTTTTCTGGGCTGTCAAGGCGCCATTCTTGTTACTCGACTACTTAACAAAGTCACCAAATGGTTTCTTGTACGGCATGAAGGCACCTCAAAAAAAACCGATTCACGCCAAATGATTCATATTTCCCTTCTTCGTGTTGAAAAAAAAAGACCGATGAGGACATTATTAGAGAATTAAGAGTAAGATGCTTCTGATTTCGCCGGAATCCAACTTCCTCAATTTTATTAGCATGTTTCAGCCATTATCGGTATAGAAAATATTATAAAATATCTTTATACATGTTCATTACCGATTGATACGTATTTTCGTTATCTATATTTTTCTTTCTAAATGAAGTTCTTTTTTTACATGCACTAGAAAGGACCAATGTAGATTTCCAGATACACGTCATTTATTATCCATTAATTTTTTTTGTGTAATATAAATATAATGTAAGCATTACAAGTATTAACGTGCATTCATTTTGTTAACCAAAGAGACACAATGATGACAAAGTTAAAATTTTATTGGAGTATTTTTACGCAATATACCGTACATTTGTTTATGTGTAGATGTGGTATACTGTAAATAGGTTTGATCCTTAATAGTTTTAGCTCCTATTTAACGTAAATATTTATAATAATATATATCAACGGTTATAAATAACAAAGCGTTAATCAAAATATTTTTTTATTTTTTTACAGTTCAATTGAATCCAACCAAATCTCTTTTTTTTATAATACTAATAAAGTCCATCAACTATATCAATTTTATTTATAGGTTCAATCAAAATCAAATTTTCGAATTAAATATAAGAAACCATTAATTGCTCGTGTCAATTTTTTACTAACAATCGATTCTAATTAATTTTCTACATTTATTAATTATAATTTGAAAATCAATTTATATATGTATACAGTGTATAAAAAATTATGATTGTATTTTTTATTTATAATTTAATAAACAGTAATTTAAATTAAATAAAATTTTGACAATTATTTTTTTAAAATATAAAAAAACGAGTTTATTGATAATTAGTTTTATTAATTTATAAATGTAAAAATACTGTGCATATAACATATAATACAATCAAAGAATATAAGTTTTAAACATTATTATTTTTTTTAAGATTGACAAAAAATTTTTTGGATTTTATAATAAATAATTTATAGTTAAATATTTTGTTAAAATAAAATGAAACGATAAAAAAAAAATTTTTTTAAAATAAAAAATTATAAATATATTATTTTTTATTAAAATTAAAATTTATATTATATATAAATATATTATATAAAATAATAATAATATTAATTATAAGTTTAATTATAATCAATCCATTTATAAATTTAATTATATTAATTAATAAACTTATATTAATTAATAAACTCATATATTAGATAAACCTTTTTATTAGAAAATAAAAATTCTATTATAATTTTAAATTATTTAATCTAATTAATTAAGATATTACTATAAGAAAATTATATAAAGTACAGTTTTAAAAAACAAATTCAAAAATATTCCAAATACTTTTTTTATTTATATAAAATTACTTTACTGAAATCTATCAAATTTTAATGATCTAATTATGTAATAGTTACAATTTTATAACTGAACTATAGAGATTCAATTGTAATTTAATGATTTTTACTATATTATAACAAAATCTTAATTATTTAATAATAATTAAATTATTATTTTGCTATTAATATTATTACTAACTTTTTTTAAAAAAATAGTAAACAAATTGTAACTATATTATAACAACTTTTAATTATAAAATAATAATATAATTTTGAGATAATTTTAATTAAATTATAATAGAATTATTATAAAACAATAACAATTCATTAATCAAATAATCAAATAATAATAATAATATAATAACTATTTATTTATTATAAAATTATAACCATATAAAAATTAAATATAAAAACAAATAGTTTTTTTTTAAAAAAATTTTCAAAAATAAATTCAAAAAAAAAATTATCTTTATAATCTTCTACTTAATAATCCTTTTAACAATCTAATTAATAATTCTTTGATTAGTTATTATCTAATCAACCTTCTATTCAATAACTATTCAGTTAATTTTCTATTTAATAATTATCTAATCAATTTTTCATTTAATAATAATGTAATTAACTAAAATTTTAAATCAAGTATCAAAATGATATTAACTTAATACTAACTTATAATAAATTTAATATATGAATTGTGATCTATTATATTAAACTTATAGTAAATTCAATATTGATTTGATATCAAAATGGTACTATTAAAAATCTTATAATCAACATTCTATTCAAAAACTATCCAGTTAATTTTTTATTTAATAACTATTTAATCAACTTTTTGTTTAATAACTATCTGATCAATTTTTTATTTAATATTTCATTTAATATTTTATTCAATAGTCTTTTATTTAATATTTTGTTTAAAAGTTTTTTATTTAATATTTTGTTTAGCAGCCTTTTAATTAATTTTTTATTTAATAATTTTATATTCAACTTTTTATTTAACAATTTTTCAGTCAAAATTTTGTTTAATCTTTTATTTAACAATTATTTTCTTTTATTCAATAACTTTCTATACAATTATCAATAATTCTAATTATTTAATTATTATTTTATTTATTTTATTTATTATATATTTAATTAATAATATATTTTAATCTTTAAGTAAAAATATTTTACTAAGTAAATAAATTTTTTATATTGTAACAGTGAGAAATGAAATGTAACATTAGTCACATAATTAATTGTTATAACTATAGTAAGTTAGCTGTAATAATTAGATAATAATAAGTGACTAAAAAATTAATAAAAAAAATTATACAAAATAGTTTTAAAGTTTTATTATTGTACTATGGCTTATTATTTTATATTCAAGTTGCTATAGTCAAATGTAAAGAAAGAAAAATATAAATAAATATAAAATATAAAAAGGTGTAATTGTTTAAGTAAAGGAACATGTTGGTCATTAATAGTTTATCATTATTAAAGAAAAACTTTATTAATGGAGAGTGGAGCA